CCATTTATTTCTGTGAATGATATTCAAGTTATAAAGAAGACTGCAACAGGACCAGTATCAGGAACTGTGCTTAAAGCTATTTGGACAAAGCCGGATGGAGAGAAGGTGCGATCAGCATGTGTACCGTTACACTGATTTGGTGATAACCTGCTCCATGCTCTTGAATTTTGAGGGAAAATGCAAGAACTAAATTACGGGTTAGTGGTTGGATCAGAAAAAAGCTGCAAACATTTCTCACTGTCTCTGAATGTGTTTTCCCAGAGGTCAAGCTAAAGGGGTTATGATCATTGTGTTTCAGCAAAAAGTGATGGAGGACGTCAAGTGTCACCAACCTCTCATTATTTGGGTCGTCTTTGTATCCTGACTAATTATTATGCAGTCCCTTCAGGGATACACTTAGGTAGCAATCATTAAGTGGTGACTCTGCCAATGTGGCTAGATTTGAGAGGCTCTTTCAATTCTTGATTAAATCAACAGAGTTTCTTAACAAGTGCTTCTTAGAGAAGTTGCCTTTTCATTCAATTTAGGGTTACTTTTAGTTGATTAACAAGGGTTTTCATTAACTATGCAGATCCAAGTGGCATTGAGATATGATCGAGGCCAGTCCCAAAGGAAGCATTTCCTTCACGAGGCCGAGTTAGCAACTTCATTGAATCACGAGAACATCCTTCATCTTTATGGAGTCGTTTTACCAGGATTGTACACCGATTCTGTTGCTCTGGTAACAAAATACATGTCAGTGTAGCCTCTTCCAGGCATTCAGTTGGTTGGGGTGCAGCTGGTGCGAAAACCATGAGCAAGGAAAAAAACAAATAGAAGGAGAGGTGCAGCGTACATGTAGGAAGGCGAGGGAATGCCTGTAAACGTTCTTACCAAATATCCTTCTGCCCACTTATAGACTGCCTGAAGGAACCAAAACATGACTACTCCTCTTTCCTTTTCGCGCTTGCTGTTTTTGCGCTGCGTCCCAACTAAATGAATGCCTGGCCTGGCCTGCAATATTCTGCCAATCATGAAACAGCATCCTACATGTAAATAGTGATTTTTCATCAGGCTGTAGTTAAGATTGTCACTCTTTCTGTTTTAGGTTGAGTAGATCGCCATGATTCAGGGGTTTCATTTTTGTTTTCAGTAGGAAGGCAAATAAAACCTTTTTGAACTGAACTTCTTTAAAAGAAAACCTTCCTCTAAATGGTCAAACCAGGCAGGAAACATTGTCCTTTACAACCCAGCCCTTTTTGACAGCCCTGGTGATTAGCTCACAGATCATTACAAAAGATAGAAGAAACAGATAATTAATTATTATAATAAAAAATTATATTGTTATTCTTTAAGCAGTAGTCATCATATTCTATCCACAGGTCACAGATTTTGCAAAGTATGGAAACATCCTTGAAGCCAGGTCGCACCTTATCATGTCAGTGGTCAATGTAATTCAAATTATCACTCAGATTGCATCAGCCTTGGAATATCTTGGTAGTAAAGATCTTGTGCACTTGAGGTTAAACTCTGCCTCCATATTTGTGGTAGCACCTGGCAAGGTACATGACGTATGGTTCAGTGTATGTCAAAAAAATTATGATTTTAATTTGATCAGTAGTGGTGGCGAATGGTCCTTCAAAAACCATAGGTCTTGCAAGATTTTTTGTCGAATTTCACGGGTATTGCAGTCTCCTTCTTTAGTGGTTATGTGTGTCTTGCAGTCTTGATTGTTCACAAAACTGTCTCACAGTTTGTTTGTTTGTTTGTTTGTTTGTTTTCCATAAATGATGTCTTAACATCTTGAGCTCATGTTTAAAACACTTTGAAGTCTCCATCTTGCAATTGAAGAAGTCAAAATGTCTTGGGCCTGCAAAGAAAAATGCCAGGCTTCCCTTCTTACAAAGTCTTGCATTTACCATTGACCACCCCTTTCAGTTGTAAGCCACAAAGGAAGTACGCTAAGCATGGGCAGGGTGGAGAGAGGCAGAGCAGAGCCAAGCAGAACAGAGTAGAGGTAGTGTACAGTATCAAAGCATAGTGTACAGTACAGTAGTATAGCGTACACAGGAGCAGAGCAGAGTAGAGCAGAGTAGAGGTAGTGTAAAGTATCGTAGCATAGTGTACAGTACAGTAGCGTAGCGTACACAGGAGCACAGCAGATTAGAGCAGAGTAGAGGTAATGTTAAGTATTGCAGCATAGCGTACAGTACAGTGGCGTGGCCTACACAGGAGCAGTGCAGAGTAGAGCAGAGTAAAGGTAGTGTACAGTATCATAGTGTACCATACAGTACAGCAGCATAGAGTAAATAAGAGTAGAGTAGAGTATAAAGTACAGTGCAGTAGAGTACAGTAAAGTAGACTAGGAGTGCTTACAGGGCTACGTGGAAGCAGTTGAGTACAGTACAGGCAGAAAAGGGGGAGGATAATTTGTAAAGATTGCCCACATTTGCATAATTTTCTAAATCAGTTCTGTCTGTTATGCAATAAATTAGTATCAGTTGTCAATTGAAAGTGGCTATTTAATAATTTACGTAATACAGTATGGACTAAAGTGACCTATTATTGACTTGCAGATCAAAATGGGAGGTCTGTGGGGATGTTTCCGACGGGACCAGATGGATGAGTTAGTTAATATGTTATGAATCATCATGTACATAATTTTGTATTACAGTTGCATTGATTTGCATCAATTTGCCATCATACGGTGGCAAAGAACTTCACATTGACCAGCCAGTATTATTGATATTATCATTGTTATGTATTTTATTGTAAAACATTTTTTTAATTAGTGTTTTTGAAAAGATATATTTTTTAGAAAATCATGATGTGAACATGTTATTAGTGGACACTTCCTCGTGGCCTCAGCCACGTTTACATGTAGCTTTTTCTGGACGCTTTTAAGTGCTATTATTATCAATAACAATAATAATTATTATTGTAACCATGATGTCTGAGTTAGCTATTTATTAACTTGAAGTTGATAAACATAAAGGTAAATGAGTTACCATGATAACAAGTTAGTGATGAAGCCGTTGTTTCAAGCAGAAGCCATTTTTCAGTTCAGAGTCCCACTTGCCAGCTGATGCAGCCCAGTAGTTTCTTTGGAAACCTATACCTGTTATGTTGTTTCCTCGAGATGTTAGGACTTTCCAGATCTTAGTTCTTTTCCAATGGAGGTGAATAGGGAGGGTACATAAATCTGACAATCTGTGCTATTTTTTTGCCAAATCAGTCGATCTGCCAATGTTTTCGTTCAAATTTGGCATAGTTTCACTGCAGGTGTTGTCCGCACTTGTCCTTTATTGTGCTGGCAACAAGAAATAATCCGGCTGACTATAAACGTATATAGTCTTGTGTAAATCACACAAAATCGAACTCTCTTTTATCATGTGATTTTTTATGACATCACTCAGGGAAACGTAAGGTGTTTGCTTTTGCCTTCCCCCTTGGGAATACGTGCACACAGCTATGCACGGCACCAAAGGCCATGGTTTTAAGCCATTTTGGTCTGAAATAGGGTATAAAATTTGGCCATTTTGGTCTGCAATAGGGCATGGTTTGTATGCACTGATTAACAATAACGTATAATTCTTAGAAGAAACTATTACAGGTGATTGGCCCCTGCTATTACAGAGCCCACCTTGCACCTGGCTATTATCATTGTTGGTATTCATCCACGATCTGTCATATTTTTATTAGAAATGCATGAATCCACTTAATTTATTGCAAAAGCTGTGCACTTTTGATGGCCTGATCCGTTGATCCACAAACCTGTTCACTCCCCTCTTTTCCTTAGTTGGTAGTGTGTTGATTGATTGTAGACAGGCAAGTCATAGTTCAAGGCAGCTACTTGTTGTTTTGTAGTTTCTCCTCTTACTTAGTAATACTTACTTGCTTATTATCAAAGATTTGATTGGAAAGGGCATGCAACTGACACTATTTAGATACTTACGTTCATGTAACTTCTTTCTGTTGTAGGTCTCAATATGGTAAAAAATTTAATGCTTTCACAAACAGCGACGTGGTTTCTTGGTTTGCGCAAACTGCTAAAGAATTATTTCGTCATCTTGCATTTAGTAAGGATAACTTATCCGCCTTGAAAAGAGAGGTACTTATAATCTTTTATGTCCATTTTATCTGTTTGTACACTAAAGAGTGGATGTTCCTATTTGCTTGGAAGTTTTTTTACATTTGTGTTAGATAAACTCTAGGATTAGTCAGAAAAAGAGAACAAAATCAGAGGCAATTTTTGTCATTGCTGTTTTCTGTAAACATCATCCTTAGAATTTCCTTTGTCAGTGTCCATTCAAAATTATCACAGCATGAATTTGGGTTGTTCAAGATTCTTCTTTCAAGTTGAGTGGCAGTTTTCGTTTACACACTATAAAGATGTGGTTTGTGTGGAGAAGAAATGTTCATCACAGTTGTACAAAGGAGATGATGAGATGAATATGAAATGGGTATAAAAGTGTGAGATGTTGCAGTTTACTAAAGGTTTAAGAAATTAATTATAATAACAAGACTTGCAAGGAACAACACTGCTGGGTGGCAAGCTTTGCCATCTATCATCCTTTCAAATAGTTAAAATTTCTAAACAATCAAACTGTCCTAAAATCTCGCACTAAAACATCAGTGACCAGAAAATTGAAAATCTTACTAATTTCATCATTCTCTTTTCTTTTCTTGGTATCTATCTCATACCCAGACTTTTAGCCAGATGGGTGTCCAGGCATCCTGTGGACAGCCACTTTTAAAATTTTTTTTTTGTATTTTTGATATGTTGCTTTATAAATTGTTGTTCATTTGAGCAGGTCCTAGCCCATTGCCAAATCCTGGCTAGAAGCCCACTCATACCTCAAACATTTTTTGATTGACAAATTCATGTGACATGGTCAGGCAAATGGCCCATTGTATGTATTGCAAATGTCTGCTGCACCGAAATAAATGAGACTTGGTGCCTTGCATTTTAAACTTAATCATGTACACCCATGCTTAGGAACTCTGTTTTGCTTCTTTTCCACTGATAGGTAATTTATAACGACCTTTATCCTGATTTGCTGAAGAATTTGTTTGATCAGTGCTGTGTAAAAGTTGCAAAGAACAGACCAACACTGTCTCATGTTGTAAAAACTCTGTCAGTGAGTAGACTTGATTTTATTGTGCTGTAAGCATATACTTTCAGTCCACTGAAGTATATGCAATCACTCTCAATGTCTTTAAACATTTATACAGTGTAATGTTATTGTATACTTTGTTGCAAGATGTACTGTGGTAGCCACATATTGTATACCATAAAATGTGTTCTAGTTAAAAAGGTTGTAAGGCTCATTTATTTGTAATATCCTGGAATAAGATCATGTTCACTGGCTATTTCACTCTCAGAAGAAGCCAAAATGGGAAATTCACGATCTGCTAGAATAAGAATAGTTGTCACAAAGGAATGCCTTCTCGCATCGTTTCAGTCATTCTTGTAAGGGATTAGCCACAAGTTAAGATTACAGTATACCTTCAGATCGGCAATTTTCTTCAAATTTGGATTTTTGGTTCAAAGTAATGGTCGAAGAGTAATCTCTAATTTCTGAAAACAAAATTGA